TTTGGAAAAAGTCCTTTTACCAATTTTTCAATTTACGTTAGTTAATTAAAAGCATCGAATCGAATTGAACTCAATTTTAATTGCCACCGTTATGACTTGAAAATAGCGTCATCGATAGACCTTTTAACATACCATATTTCAGTATCAATCCGAGATTTGAAAACTTATGAAAGAAACACAAATGTTGTTACTATTGATGTCAATCGTAATAGAGAATTTTACTTCAGTTCATATGCTGTTTGAGATCAGTTATTCAAAACTAAGATTTCGTTTGTAATCTCATACTGGTGGTTGGATTCACTGTATTTATACGTCAAGTTATTTGTGATACATTGTTCAAGTTGAAGAATTACAATATGCTTCATTTAGTCAGCTGCTTAATGATAAACTTGCCCTCCACCTATGATAGCATATCTTTCCATTGATCCTTTTTCATAGTTCTTTGTCAGCAAAATTAACAAAATACCGAGGTCCCAATTATGTTAGCATCTCATCCAATAGTCAATATATTTTCATGTAGAGACAAGTATACAGATCATTTCTTTCCTTCATCTTCATTTCATGCTTGATCATTTCAAGCTTGTCCAATTGAGTATGGATGCGTGCCGAAGATGACAAATATTTCCACACTCACCCACACCTACACCCTCTTTCTTATTAGTTTATATTTTGTCTATGAATACACTTGATAAAACGAAGGAAATCTCAAATGACTACATACATATCAACTTTTTGTGTGAAGCTATCATTGGTTTTTACTGAATTTTACATTTGTTTCAAAACTTCTTAAAAAAAAAGATCATCGACTTCAACAGTTTCCAAGCGAGATTTCGCTGAATTGTTAATGTAACTCAAATAATTAATAGACTTTCTTGACAATTTTAGACATCATGAACATTCTTTTTTGAATTATACAATTTTTCAAAATAGTGTTTTTTTCACAAACGGCTTGCAAAAGTCAAGTCCATCAGACGATTCAATAAATTGAAAAACAAGCATTAGTGTTCCAAATTTTCAATAAAAAAAATCTGGTAATTGCACGAAAATTCAACAGAAACAATATATAGATCCTAACAACAAGTGATTCACAGAAATTCTTCAGACATTTTTTTACTATTATCAAGACCTAGTCATAAACAAGAGATAGGATCGAATAGTTTCCAACATTTGAATATGTTATCTTGTAAAATCTATATTCCAAAAGACCTTCAAATACTGATGTCCTTCGAAATTTTTTTTCCAAGATGTATCATATACAAATTAAAGATAGTAAAAACTGAATTATATATGACGAATGTACAGGATAACATCAAAAATCACCAGTAAAGTTATTTAATACCAAACAAACTCAAAGTTTATTTCATCTTCGAAAAATTTTCACGAAATTTTTGACAAAATTGTAAAAGTGACTTATAGTTCTTTGGATTGTTGATAGCATTCTGATTGATGTAGGACTATGAAAACATGCAAAAAAAGAATACTGCATCTTTCAGTAAAAGTAATATTGTTTACGTGTTGTAGAAAACTTCCTAAACACATCAACATAACATCAATCCCATCTTTATCAACTGATAGATTCTACGAATTATTCTATCGACTAAAACCCTTCATAAATTTGTTGGAAAATTATATGGTCCTATTAAAAATGTTTTTTTTTTCTTAAAATTATTCATCATATGCATAGTCTATCTAAGCGTAGAATTTGATAAAAACGTCTTGCAATATTCTATGTAAGTGTATACCTTACATCATAGACCTGTATAGAAAAAAAAAACCAAGAAAGTTAAAAGTTCGTATGGCCAAATCATTATTCATGCTTGTTATTTTTCTTCATTACTTGCTGTTAACATTCATCAATAAATTTCTTCTTCGGTTATCGTATTCGAAAACCATTCGTTACTAATCGGACTTTCATTTTCAGTTTTGTATCATATAGAGTGAAAGGACATGTATGTGTTGCACGTGAAAAGAAGCAGACATATATGAAAATGTTTTTTTTCCGTTTCACTAAGATAATAATTTCTTTGATGACTCATGGTAGAAAGAAATTTTTCATTAATATAAATTATTCAGAAGCGACTATCATCTGGTCTTGAATAATTAGTTACCATTGCTGTATTTTTAAATATATTGATATGAAAGATCGCGTTGAAATCTTATTTAAATAAGTAATTTAACATTTTAGAAATAGTTTTGAATATTATACAAATGAAAGTCTAAAACTATTGAAAAGTATTTGAAGAGTTTTTGCTTTATTTATTGTTTCAATGTACTATTCAAAAAGTCACTATATTAGTATATCTAATGTTAAAAAGAGAGCTCCATAATAAATGAAGTTCAGTAAAGTTTTTGTTGAAGGAATAAATAGAAAAAATTACATTCGAAAAATTGAAAATCTTGCTTTGTATAAATTATTTTCATTATATGAAAAGTAATTCACTCGTTCGTTACTGATATAGAACATAGGATGATTCTATGGTACATACATTGTCTTTCGTTATAACATGAATTGTGAAAGTTAAGAATTAAATTATCATTTTTTTTTTATCTAGAAATATATTCTAGACTAATATCGCAATAATCAGCTATGTATATCAACAATAAGATGCGCATAACTATCATAAGGCATCTAGTGATGATAAACAATTAAATCTCATAGAACCAAAAAGGCAATCAAGTATAGTATGAAAATAGATAAAGAAAAACTCATTGTAAATATATGTTAATAATAAAAGATATTTCAGAAATTCTTTGTATTGTAGAAGTTAACAAGATTACGTAATGAAAGTGTTTCAACTATTTTCATCTTATGAATCGCTATAATTTTGTTTCATATATCAAAGGGTTCCTTCAAATTGAAAGTTAAAAGACTCGTTTGAATACAATAATAAATATAATTTAGATTTGTCGTCAAAAAGAACAATTGATGAGAGACAAAAAAATACTAAACTTAACAAATATTGAATATATTGATGTTTATTGTAGAAACGTATTAGGTCACATCTTCTAATAAATTTTTCATCTTTTATTTAGAAAATGAAAAGGAATAGGTTTTGAAAAGCATTTTTTTCATTTATAGAATATCTCTCATTGCATTCTTTCGTCTACAACCGTCCATAACAGACTGCTGACATAAAATCAATAGGAAGAGCTTGAAAATACTCTTCTTTACTTAATTAATGACTTGTCCGTCACGCTCTGTACACGGTAATGGAAGACGCTTGTTTACCTGTCTCGCTACAACTGTCAACATTCATTTCATTCAGTTAAATAAAATGACTTGTTAATTACACAAAATTTCTATTACAATCAGTCGGAGAAAGTGGGTTCAAATTTCTATTCCATATGCTTTAACATTTCTTTTAAATCGTGTTTCACAAAATATCATGAAGAGGTGAATATTTTCAGATATTGATTGTAAAAATTTGATTTTCATAAAAACAAACCTTGCATTCCAAATCAGCATGCAAAACTATGTCAAAAAATATTCTTCACCAAAATATCATCCATAACGAAGTACAACATAAAATCTCTCGGGTAAATTATCTAGGAAAAATTTAGTAAATTAATTTTTGATGGGAGTCAAATTTTTATTGTCAAAGCCTGGAATTGACATAAGGGAAAATTTATAAATGCAGCTAATAATAAGAAATTATGAGCTCTGTCACTGATGAAAATAGCAAGACATTCTATTATGGTTTCACAAAAAACGTCCTTGCTCAAAAGTTTCACAATCAAACATCACACAGAGTAAAATAAGACTCTGTTTGCAATATCAATATATCCTATACTTGATTTAAGAAAATTTCAAAAATTTCCTATATGCGGATAGAAATCAATAATAACTATTAGAAAAACAACAGCATGGAGTCAAAACACTTCCATTTGAAAAGACAAAAGTTATTTGTTCAATGAAAATTTACAAAAAAAGGCTATCATTAAAAACTTTATCAATATTTTCAAAAATAGTCTTCGTAAAAGTGATCAAATTGAGCAGAAAATTTCAGAAATTACTAAATTTATTATCGAGAATAAACCAAAAAGAAAAGGAAATTCGGAGACAACAATTCATCTTTGACGTACTTCATATGCTTGATTTTCTTCAAAACTCATTCGGAAGGCTTTTATGATTGATTCAATCAAAATTTTATCGAAATAACAATGAATTTTTGGTTTTAATCTTTTTCTTACATTTGATGATGCTTTTTTTCTTATATGATCAACAGTAAATTAGTGATGAGCACGAAATTCTAACATATGCCTACTACCTAGTTATGAGAATACAATACAATAATCTTGCTAGTTGTTTATTCAAGAATTCGTTTCATTCTATGATGAAGAAAAATTCTTTCCAAATTAAAAATTTCTCGTATCACAAGTTGAGATTGTGTTTACCAAATTCTTATCTGATTCATCAGATCGTGTACATCACACTATAGAATCTTACATTGAACTTATAGAAAAAAATTTGCTCTATTTATCAGCAATAAAATAATTTGAAAAGAATCGAGTCAAAAATATTGACTTTTGATTTTCGTTTCAGTAGAGAGAACACGGTAAGCTATACTGTTATATTTTATAATTATGTTGTAATTATGTAAATGTTTGTTTATTGAGTGTTGTGTTTTCATAAAAGTGCATGTGATTGCACCAATATGTCAAAATAGGTACCAAATAGGTAACACATTCGTCTTTCTATTTTTCTTATTCACATATTAGTTAGGCTTGATTCACTCATAATGATAGAAACAGTTTTTTTAACAGGTTATAGTCTGTTCATGCTTGTTTTTGACGTGACTTTACAATGATTAATATCAACAGAGATGGTATCTATTGAAATATATTTCTATTGGAAGAGTGATTCCTCGTTTGATGACAACATTAAAGCACCTATGGCCCGTTTTCGATTGATATAGTCATGCATCATTACTATCCTGCATATATAAAGCCTCGAATAAGAATCAAACGATACTATTTACACAAACAATTTAGCATAAACAATGTTGCTCCATGTTTTGGTTGTATTAACTAATGTCATTATCACTATAAATGCACGCACTTTACCAGAACCAATAGTAAGTACAATCTGTATACAAACTTAGATTATGAAATATAATAAATGAATTTAGCCTTTAACAGAGCAACCGTCTGTGGATAAACAGAAATTAGTACAGAATCGTAAGTACCAGCTCAAATGATTTTTTGCTCGTGTGCTTTTTCTTGTAACTTCCAATGTTTCCAATTCATACATCATAGAAGTTGATTTTGTATGAAAGGTCATCGGTTAACTATTCACATTTTCTTGGGGACAACACTTGTTAGTTAATCATTTCTACGCACTTCAACAGTATTCATGATTCAATATTTCGCAACTTCTAATCTAAGTAGTGGTTCGATAAGTGGTTTATTAGTAAATAATTCTTCAAGTTTTCACTAAATCCTTCATTGCTCTACACACAGCTCTTAAATGTTATCCAAATTGTTATTTCAGATCAGAATAGATCATCCATTAATGCTGGCATATTTATATTTGTTGTTCATGTTGTCATTGTTTACTGCTACCAGAATTTATTTCCTTTTTTTCTGTTCAATCTTATTTTTGAACTCTGCCATGTTTGATCTATACATGTAAAAACTGATTCATTTTTCTTCTCAATTTCAGCGGGTACACATGAAGGAGACATACTTCTGCCAAAAGCACAAAGTGTAAGTGTACAACAGTTATTCTATATTGAAAATAATTGTTTTGCAATTTCCTTTTTCAATTAAGCGTGGAGTAGCAAGAATTGGTACTAGTGTGCGTTGGCCTAATGGAATCGTGCCTTACGTATTTGCATCAGGATATAGTATGTATTTTGATAGTTTTATTTATCCTATTTCGATTCTTGAATATGATATAATCAAGAAAACCAAAAGGATACACTCCATCGTACTTAATCAATTAATATAAATTATGTGTTTTTTTTTCTTTCTTATAGCGGCTGACCAACAAGCAGCTATCGTCAATCGAATGCGAAAATTGGAAAGTTTCACAGCTATCAATAATGCACGATGTGTACAGTTTCGACCTAGTGTATCAACGGATGTGTATTATATCACCATACGAAATGGAGCAGGCTGTTATTCATATGTAAGATACATACAAAATGCTACTTTTGTTTTTATAGATGTTGCTTGGGTTTATTTCAGGTCGGACAAAATACAGAAATGACTGGTGAACGAACTGTATCATTGAGTTATCCAGGTTGTTTTGATGATGGAAGAACTATGCACGAATTGATACATACATTGGGTAAATGTGACCAATGCAACTATTTGGAGTATCTTAGAAAAATCTATGCTAAATCTTTTTGTTCTTTTCTATTGAAAGCAAAAAAACCTTAGCGCACAAAAATTACAACTTTTGTTTGAATTACAAAAATTGACGACATTCATGTGCCTCTCTTTTTTAGCAGATGTTGATTGAGTCGAGTCTGACTTTGCGCCTATGGTAATGCTTCAAATTGAGATTTTTTGGGATCATTCCGTAATGTTTCCTGTTAGAATTTAAAACAGAAAAATGTCAATTTGTAAGGCATCGTAAGAAAAAATAAAACAGTATACCGTCATTCAAAACAATAAACTTTAAATTAAATCACTTGAAATAGTTTTTAACTTCCTACATGAATGCGAAATAATTCTAATAAAATATTTCTTCACGATTGAAATACATTTATTTTTGTCTTTTTTAAAACAGGATTCTTTCATGAACAATCACGACCTGATCGGGATTCTTATGTCAAAATTAATTGGCAGAATATGAACTCAAGTAATGTTAGATTTTTGTCATATGATAATGACAGTTTAAAAAACAAACTTATTTATGAATTACTTTCTTTGTTACTATTTAGGTTTGAGCTACAATTTCGAAAAATACGATAATACGGTGGTCAATACACTCAATACTCAGTACGATTATGAATCATTGATGCACTATGAAAAACTTGCATTCTCTATCAATAATTTACCAACGATTGAACCAATTCAGATCAACAAAAAAATTGGACAACGTTACAAGCTGAGTCCAATTGACATTCAAGAAATCCGACAATTCTATAACTGTTCAGCAAATGGACCCTTATTACCACCAGTTACACTGACCTTAACAGGTAAAGAATTTTTTGTACACACGAATGACAGTTAGAGAAAAACCAGTCTATAATTAAATATATCGTATCAAACTTGAAAACATATGTTCTATTGTTGAATGTAGGAAGTCAATATACCTTTAACAGAGTGGGACAAAAAAAGAAATGAGAAATAATTTGGGACCATAAAATCAAATAATTCATGTATCACATGAGTGATACATTTCGTAAGCTGTTTCTTTTCTTAGTCTAGGATATAGTACAATAAATGTTATAAGAATACTCCTATCTAAGTAACATCATTCTTTGAGAACTATTATCTTGTAGGACATATCCTCGGTTCTGTATTGAAACTTACACCGACTTTTATATAGTGAATTGAATATGCTTAAGACTCATTGGCCAAATTATGCTGTTTCAGTGCGATACTAAAATAGCGGTTCTTTGAAAAAAGAACCACATAGATTTTTTACATATCCATATGAATTCAATCGAGACATCGATAATCAATATAGGTACTAATGTAGATGAAGAATTTCCATTAATGTGTTTGTAATGTTTATCAAAAGTCTGATACAGAATAATCACTAAATTGAAATTGGTTTGTACTAAATTATTATGTTTTGGATAAGAATCAAAACGTTTATATTTTTAAAAAAAAAGTATCACAACTACTTTCATTACCATTTCATCTTTATTGTAGCAATATTCTCAAGCTTGTATAAAATACACATTTGTCTAATTTCCACTTTTATTAATCGAAATCGTCATGTAATTGACGAAGATTGCCGAACTAATTTTATCGAACTCATGTCAGTGTCAGAGACCGAGGAATATCAGGAATGATGACTACTAATCTATCAATAGATCAATAGTATGAATTCTGATAGTATTTTCTCTTTTTATCCTATAGTCGATCCATCTTTAAATCCAGTCTACTATTCAAGTGGATTGACTGTCAATCATCCACAATTTGCTCGTAATGGCGGTGTTGGAGCCTCCTACTACTACGAAACTCTTCGATTGACAATTCCATCCAGCGGCCAGTATACTTTTGAGTGCAACAGCTATATTGACACATTTGCATCTGTCTATTACATCAGTTTTAATTCATCCAGTCCAACTACAAATTTATTTATCTCACGGGATGATGCTAACGACGATAATTGGGAATTTAAATTTGGAATAAATTTTCCTTCTGCTTATAAAATGGATTTAGTTGTCACGACTTACAATCCAAATGTAACAGGGGCATTTCAGATCGTCGCAACCGGTCCAAATAACGTGACTTTTGTTCGGACAAGTAGCACTGGGAACCCAAATCTAACACCAACTAGCACAACATCAACAACAACAATGCTCACTACAACCACAACAAAATCTACTACAACTACAAC